GCCATCTTAGCTTAACATCACGTACTTTCAACTGTACGTTGTGTAGTTCTAAATGAGCAAATTGTATAATAAGCCTATTGTGACATTATAATGATATAACATCGTACTATCGTAACTTAACATTACAAAATTTCAATGTACGTCGTGTAGTTTCAAGTGAGCATCTTAGCTTAACACGTTGCATCGTGTTGTTTAAAGTTAACAAATTGTATGGTAAGCCTTTCGTTTCAATATAGTAGTGTAGCATCGTGTTATCTTAACTTAACATCATGTACTTTCAACTGTGCATCATGGTGTTTTAAATCAACAGATTGCATGATAGACCTATCGTAATATCACAATGATATAATATGGTACATTCTCAGCTCAACATTTATTAATAACATATCAGCACCATACATTTTAGCTATTCATTTTATTTGTTATCATAGCTATCGAATTGTATGACTGAGCAGTATCAATCTGCAAGCTAACATCATGCAACGTCAACTTCACATCATGTACTTTAAACCCAACGTTACGTGTGTTAGGCATATCATCACAACATCGTGACTTATCATTATACTATCACGACTAAAGCACTTGTCATTGCAAGTCAACATTGTGCAAATTCAACTTAGCATATTGTAATTTAGAGTTAGCATTTTGATGACTCAATTCAACATCACGCTGTCTTAACTTTACATTTTAAGCTTCAGCATAACGTTTTGTAAATATCTAATATATGACAGCTGAGGCTTTCCATATCATAGGCTTTCCATAGTTTTTAGCGAGATATGTCATGACTACGATACACAACCAGTTTTTGAAGCTGATTGATATATTGTTTTATTCATCTCGGTTTTCGGTCGATAACATTAAAAATTTGCGGGAAATTTCAAAAAGTTCTATAATTACAATTAATCTTGATCTGCCTCGTCAACTCTAAATAGATATCCTTACCGATTTACATACGATATTTTGAAAGGTGTAATAATTCCACTAATTTGTCATTAAAAATCATCAGAAAAGGAGCTTCTCAGGCAGACGAAATGAATGCAGTTCAAATACTGAAGTGAAATTATACTAAATTTCATATTGTAAACATGTGCTCCAAGAAGGTCTATAGATCGCTTGTGACGTGTTACACATTCTTGCATAATTAATGAGATCTTGTCTAAAAGGTGACAGAAAAATGGAGTTTTTGCTCTTAACTACGTTCATTAAAATCCTAAAACTGACACGAAACATATTTTTTCATTGATATGTATAAATTACAGCATTTACTCTGCTTTTTAGTTTTCACCTCAAAACATGATTTTCGTAGATACCGCCTCTTTAAATGCAAGCAATATCTTAATGAATGGTTATTAACAGACAATGCATCGTCTATGTAACTAAAAGTCAAGCACCTACCTATTTCTTTGTTATGTCACTGTCCTTGGATGAACAACATTTCATATGAAAACAGAGATAAATTATAAAGGTTTTTCACATAATCAGTGTCTATTTTTGAATTCAATGTAAACTGCGATTGCTAAACCTATACAACAAATTCAATATTGCATCCTTCATACCGGTACTATTAAGCTCCGTCTCTGTACTTTTAGTCATCCATACTTTATTAACAACAGCTTAATTTTCCCAGCCTCACAATGTGCACGAGAGGCGGAAGATACCAAAGGGACATTCAAACTCATAAGTCGAAGACAAACTAACAACGCTATGGCAAAATAGAAAAACTACGAAAAGTCGAACAACAGTCTACAAAACACAACATAGAAAACCAAAGATTGGGCAACACGAGCCCCACCAAAACATGGGATTATTTTGTCCCGATATTCAAATATAATTTCCTAGTTTTATAAAAGCATACAAAGTATTCAGATGGTACAAAACTATAGCTGTATGACTAATTACGTTCACTTTTAAAATCTGATAGGGTGAATAAATAAATTGACTTTACATACTGTAAAACTTTATGTGTCATTTGTAAAAGTGACTTTTATCACCAAAAACTACAAAAATCTACATTTGTTTATTGTTTATTATGAAATTAACTTTTGGCATGATGCGAAGACCACTTATTTGTTAAACCCATGACTCTTCACAGTATTGTGTAAAAGATATTGGTGGTCCACGGACTTGTCTATAATTAATTTTAGGAAAAACTTCGCATATACATGTATTTAACTTTTAAGCTATTTTAAGAAAATAGTGATGTTTTGAGCTGGTATACGACATCCACGTGATGTCATGATTCAAAAACTTCTGAAAATCATTGTTTTTTTTTAGCAGTTTTAGAATAAACCTAACATTGAGGTAGCCTCTTTCAATGTAGTTGGACAAATGCTTCCTTTCATCTTGCTCTTTCATTAGATGGTTGGAAGGTAACTGCGCAAGACACTCAAAACTGTTCATATCTTAGGAGATAAGTTTCATAACTCTGAAGCGTCCATAACAAATTATTAAAATTGAAAAGAGTTACCGTGAGAAGCGCTGGAAATTTGTAAATATAGACTTTTAACGATTAAAGTTCAATATGTAGCAACTCTTGAATTGCAAAGTTGATTTTTTTTTCAAAATTGAAAGGAAGCTCGTCTTCGTGGAATTGAACATTGGGATAACAAGTACTAAATATTCATCGGAGCACTACCAAAGAAGACTTGGGAGCTCATCTTTAACTGTCATCAAATGAGACATTTATTACTGCAATGCCGACCCTGCAATGGAATAGTGAAACTATTACATTTGGAATGTAATAATTTGAGGGCCTTATACCATTATTGACATTTTTGCAAAACCAACTGACATATGTCAATAATGATACCATCTTTAATTTTCCCTGTAGATCCCCACAAGCTAGTTACATCTTTAATTTTCCCTGTAGATCCCCACAAGCTAGTTACATCTTTAATTTTCCCTGTAGATCCCCACAAGCTAGTTACACTTGTTGTGGTACTTATTTCCTTATCCAATAATCGTAATGGTGTCACTACAGCTGATATTTACAATTTTTATCTGATGCATCTATAAATGTCGTCGTAAGTCAAGGTCGTTAACCCTTACCATGCTGTGCCCGTCATATGACGGGATTACCCAGACCACCGTTATTTGGCTCCAATGGCTCTCCATACTTTTAAAGGTCAACTTTATGATACTTATTTCGAAATTGATGCATGTTCCCTCACCCTGAGGCTATCTATTGTCATGTTTCTCATGTTTAAGTTGGATTTGAGCTCAAATACGAACTTGGAAAATTGAAATCGGATAAAACTGGTTTTTCTGGAGGGGTGGGCTTCCCTTCGGTGTCTTACACAGGAAGTTCAGAGGCCTAAAACTTTCAAAAACAGTGTAAATCCGCAGGCATATATCTAATGATCATAATTATTATTGAAATTCGCATAGGAAGCGACTACTTCCGGTTTCAGGTCCAGTTGAAGTCAAAAATCGGAAAAAATCGTGAAATTCCGTATTTTTTGAAAAAAACTCGACTTGAGTGCTGTCTGTCTGGATCCTCGATTCTATATTTTCTTGTTGCATCTTTTAACATGATTTATAATAAACCTTTTCTTAAATTGTCCGTTTTAAATTTTGAAATTATAAAGAAACTAAGGTTTCTACTCCCTCAGGCAAAGTTGACTTTAGATGGATTGGCTATTTCTTTATGTCCTTTTTGATCATACAGCTCTTTAATTGTTTCGGCTCTTATACAGCCTTGACTTTCAAGTATTCAACTTTGAGCGTTCCTGATAAAGGTAAATCCATAAAAGCGCTTCGGATGCATGAAATTTAAAACGTGTTGTTTTCATTTTTAAAAGACGAGTTATATTTTGACAGATCTTCAAAACGTCCCTAGTCAAAATCGAATTCATCGCAATAAAAATATACTCGGTGTTATCACAACAATTTTTTTTAATGATAAATTGATATAATAATAATAAATAATAATAATAATAATTTATTTTATTAAAGTGTCATATACATCTCTGTGTTTTTGCAAGTAATTTATATATTTGTATATGTTACTAATTACATATTGGTCAAATTAATGTCACTCGATAAACAATGCTTATATTTTCTTTTTCTAAGACACTTATTTGTTTTATTTTATTGAAAATATGCGTCATCAAAGTAGTTTGTATAATTTACTGATTCAGAATCGTGCAAAACGGGGAGGCCTATTTTTAATAGAATACTCCTTTAAATATTTGCCATCTTGTATAATTATCTTTTAATTTTATTGAAGTTTCGGCCCTCTACTTGAAAAGTACTGTTATATCATTTCTTTCTAATGTACTTATGATTTTTTTCCAAATATGCAATAATGCTTGGAAAATTGACTATTTTACTGTTGTTTTGTTGTGGAATTTGCAAATTAACAAACAAACAACAAATGAAAATAAACCAATCTATAACCACAAACGGCCATTGGCTTTCACTGTTGTTGCAAATTAACAAACAAACAAAAAATGAAAATAAACCAATCTATAATCACATACGGCTATTGGCTTTCATTTACTTTATGGGTTCCAAGATATATTGGAAAAGAATGAAGAGTCCAACATTATAAATGTAGTATGCAATTTTGACAATGTTTTAGTACTTGTCTCATTCATACATTTAAAGGCTAACAAAGTAAAAAAAGGATTTTTTTGCTATATTTTACATGTTAGGGGTCCCAACATCATCTAAAATAATGAGCTTTGCCTTCTTCAATAATCTATTATATGTTCACTGGACCCTGAAAGTAAAATAAAAAAATCTTGGAACATCAAAAGTAAAAGAAGTTCACTTAGTCTACATTAATAATCAAATGGTTTAAAGAATACGTATACTGTAACAAAAACAGAACAGAATAATGAATGAAAACAACAACAAAAAAACACATGTCAAATTGATGCCTCGACAATAAATACTTGTGTACAATAGTGCTTGATTATCAACCGACTTATAATAAAAGGCCGGATCGAGTGACATACTATATTATATTAAGTATGCTTATATCTGATCAAAGTCCTTTTAAATGTTACAGTACTTTTGCACCTACCTACTTTAGTAGTTAGAAATCTAAAGTCACAATTTCCAGGAAGTTTATGGGTGTGATATGTTAGATTTATGTAATTTTTTATACTTCAGTATGTTCAAGGTAGGCAATCTTTTATTTGGTATACATAATGCCTATTGTATCTAGATAAAATATCTTAACTTTAATGTCAGCAAAATTATTCTTTAAACATAAAGAAAATGTTTGCTTCCGTCTATAATTGTGAGTGAACTGGAAGATCATATTCTGTTTTCGCATGTCATTTTATAGTGCTTTCATTAATACTGAAACATTGTGTGGGTAATTTTATTTATTATAAATAGACATGCCTAAAAGCACTTACTTGTAAACACTAAATTAAATGACTTTGACCTATTTCTTAATTTAATTTTCTAGGAAAGCTTTCTGATAAACAATTCTTAAGAAATTTTAGTTTAATCAGTTGACACGGTCATGTTCTATAAACATTTCCACCGCAGCATTTCATATTGAACATAATTGCCTTGTCCTTAGAACGTTTACATACATTGCAATACGGTTTAAAATTTCGTAATAACATTGTATTGTAAGAATTTCTGGTACTGAAATGCAAGGTTCTCTATAAAGACAACGACCAAGAAAAAAGCGCATGGGAATAACTTAAAATGTGGTACAAACTGTTTCCAAGGTCACCGGCTAAATCTTCAATGTCAACCAGCATTGAGAAGCTGTTCCGGGTAAACCTCTTTACTAAATATTAACATTAGCTTTTCCCTTAAATGATCAAATCCTAATTCCCCGAGATCTCCTTGAGAAATATGAACAATAAAGCGGATCTTTTCAATCAAAATCCAAAATCTACGGTATAACTCAAGGATTTTTGGGGATGCAACGATTGGTGCAAATGACAGCTTCTATGTGACTAATATAAACAAGAACAGTGTTTAATGTCACACAGAGGCACATCATGAACAACGTTCAATGGAGACCACTTCGTTCTCACTTTGTGATTTAAGCGTTTAGATGCATAAATAAAGGCAACAGTAGTATACCGCTGTTCTAAATTCATAAATCGATTGAGAAAAAACAAATCCGGGTTACAAACTAAAACTGAGGGAAACACATCAAATATAAGAGAACAAAGACACAACAGAAACACTAAAATGCAACACACACAGAAACGAACTATAAGATAACAATAGCCATTTTCCTGACTTGGTACAGGAAATTTTAAGAAAAAATGGTGGGTTGAACCTGGTTTTGTGGCTAGCCAAACCTCCCGCTTTAATGGCAATGTTAAATATAACACTAAAATGACACCATTACATGACAGGACTACAATACAAATAAATGGAAGAACATACAGGACAGAGAAACACACAAATAAACAATACAATAGAACATTACGACAAGCTATTAGTTATCAAAGGTGCCAGGCCTAAAGACGAAGAGCATTTATGACCCAAAATTCCAAAAAGTTGTGCCAAATACGGCTAGGTTATCTGCTTGGGATAAGAAAATATTTAGTATTTAGAATAATTCATATTTTTGCAAACAGTAAATTTATAAAATATAAAAATGACCATATAATTGATATACATGTTAACACCGAAGTGGTGACTAACTACAGAATAAAAACGAATATGTAAAACAACCTAGATCAGCACATAAAAACAGCACAGCCGAACAACGCATAAATTATGGGATAACAATAAATCTATTTTTAGTTTGGTCTCAATTCCGTAGCTAGATTGCTTGTAAAATATCTATACAACAACGACAAACATCGCTTTGAGGCAAGGCCTAATTTATATTATATGCAGTTAGATTCTCTCGTCAAAGCTGTATTATTTTATGTTCTTGCACTGAGCTATGTGTGGTTTGTATAACAATGAAGCCAAAGAGAGAAAGATGCATGTCATGTATTCTTGATACCTCTGGTTTACATCAAATATTTATAAACTACTTTATTGGCCGTACTTGATTCAATTGTGATTTTCTAAAAGTATACTATTTCCTTTTCTTATTTCCCCTTAAATGGTTTTGTTGATTTGACTGCTGTTTGCCTAACGTCAAGTGGCAAATATTTCATGCATATTCAGGACAAGGGAAATTAAACAAAACAGTGAATTGGATAAGTATGTTGTGGATGAAATGCGAGTTTTGATTTTAACTTGAAAAATATGATTTGTTGAGTTGGAAAAACACATCTTGCCTTGCATTGGATCACAAGATTGTTTTAAGCACAGAAATCGTTACACTCTCCCAACACTGGGCATCTTATTGAATGTTTCTATTCCGACTGGATATGACTGTGTATTTATATATACTGCGCAGCGAAACTAGTGTCTTAATTCCGTATGTTGAGAAGTTGCAGTGACCGTACATTAATAATTCGTCAGCCCTTTCGGTCGCCATTGGTTTGGAATATTTTATCTGTTGTCTGATATAGATATGTATGTTTCAAAAACCCAATAATTTCTCACCATCAGTATGAGTATGACATTTACCAATCAGTCTATTAAACCAATTAGGCAGATTTGATGACCTATTATTATACGTGTTTTCTTTATTAATAATATTACTACAAACAGCTTTGTGTGAAATACCACCATCTAAATTATAGCACGGTCGAAATGAACATTTACGTGTTTCCAATACATGCTACAATTAGACTTGACATAATTAGTTTAAATAAAACATGTATCAGATATTTACTGACCGAAAAACAATTGACAAACTCTGAAACAGACATTAAATGGATAAATGAATTAATAAATGAATTACCTTTGTTTCAAAAGAATAACCCCATTAGCCAAAGCTAATTTACCTGAGGATCCCCAAAAAGTCAATTGTACTTAATGTGTAAAACATTACATTATGTGTACAAATACATTCATACCTATGTTATCATTTACAGAAAATGCTTCAACATACAAACAAAATGTTCAACGACTACTCCTTGAATAGAAATAATAATATTTATCTTTAAAATGTTTTAACGATTTGCACTCTTTAACTTCTCAAGGCTAATTATTTCTGTTTTTTGCACATGAGAACTTTAATGTTTTCTTTTTAAAAAAATGGTTTTGGCTTTGTTTTATGTTAACTTTGCTAATAAAATATGAAAATTCATGTTACAATTTTCATTTGCAGCGGTATTGTTAGGACATTTCCACTCTCTTGTGATCAGCTGTGTTCGGGGAACTCTGCATACTTTTCCCCTATATTTGGTCCCAAAAATGATGATAAGCTTGCTTCCATTTGGAGATAAAATAGTTGGAAATGACATACTTCCATGGTTTGATATTTGTTTTTGCTGCTTTACTGTTTTTCACCTGATTAGATTCGATATTGGTACTCTCTACTCAATATATTTTTCAAAATAATTTACAGAAATATTTAAGTACTTTCTAATTCTAGTGCACCATGTTCGTTTTGACATATGTATGCCAGTAGAGTGATACAATTACATTGGATCTCTGGGATGTAACTGCACGTATAACATCGAAAGTGAAAAGGCCTGGGGTTTTTTTTCCTTAAATAAGCGCTTTAGGTCTCGAAAATGAAACGTTCATAATAATGTCAAATGGACCAATTAAATTTATGTATAAAGGTTATTATCTATACATATACTTTTACATGTCCTTAAAACATAAGGGTTAAAAACGCCTTTATGATCAGAACTGAAAGGAAAGTAAATGTACACTGGATATGATTTCAGCAAATAACTGGGTTGTGCGTACTTAATGTGTAACCTGTATATCCTACCTGCAATATCATTTAAAAAGGCCCACAAATAAAGGTGGTTGATTGATTGATTGATTGGTGGCAGTGAATAAAAAGTCAATTGTTTCTCCTCATGCATGTATCACATTACATTGAGAATTTACCTTGTACAGTTTTTGATGATCAGATTATAAATTCAGTAAAATAATAATACATTAATCGATAAAACAAATGCTTTGATAAAAAGGAAGCTGTTAAAACTAATTTCCCTGTTTGTATCAATAGGTCTTTCTCGGAAGTAATCGGAAGTAGTAATTCATGTCAGCTGCACGGTGGACTGCTTAATGAAGGTAATTAAATTTTAATACATAAATTCATATATATTTCATAAATCATCTTTGTATTTATTGTATGATGATATTATTTCATTACAACAACTGATCATTGCAAAAAAATTATGTACAACTATCATTAGGAACTGAACTTGAGGCTACAAGGAGACTGAATCGATCACTTATCCATCGCAAATATTTACTTATCATGAATGAAATAGGTTGCTTTAAGGTCAAATTTATTTTCAAATGATAAAAGGTTTCAAATGAGTTAATAATTGTAATATCCATTGTGGTCTATGCTTTTTACCCAACAATCCTGCCAGGAAACATACGTGACAACATATGGATATTATGTGATATCCTCTAGTCGTTCCCGCAAAAACAACAATGCCTGAAGGCTGTAAAAACTGTTTTGACCACAATTAAGAAAAATGCATTGGGCAATGGTTGTTTGTACCCAGACTCACCCGTATAGTCTGGGAATATTCACCAAATAATACTTTTTGTATTACATTTAACTCATTTTTAACCATTTGAGTACCCAGAGACAGTGACCACTTTTCTGAAGCCCCGTTTAAGAAAAGCGGACACGGGTTCCCCGAAACACAAGAAAGGCAACCAATAAAACATAATTTTACATGTGACAAGAAGTTTTAGAAGAAGACAGCAAACCGGGTTTTTCCTACATTTATTAGTGTTATTGTTAAAGCAATCAAATGCCATAATTCCAGAACGGGAAAAGTGAAAATCGTCAAAACCAATCCTGACATCTATTTTGCCATGAGAAACAACATTTCAAAATTTGAAAAGGATTGAATCAAGCTTTCTCAAGCTATCGCACGGAAAAATTTTCCAATCAATGAAAGACCAAAACTCCTGAACAACAAAAATGAAAATCGTCAATATCAAAATGACCTCCATGTTGTCACCAGCAACAACATATTAGAATTTGAAAAGCATTGGTTGAACGGTTCTCAATTTATTTAACAGATCAAGTACTATAACCACTGAACGGCAAATGTGGAAATCGGCAATTGCTAACTTGATCTTGGCTTTGTCATCAGTTATAGCGTTAACATTTGGAAATCGTTATAGAAAAGCAAAAGTGAAAAACGTCGATATCGAAATTGACATCTATTGCCCACCAGCGGGAAATTTAGACTGCTACTGGAAAAAGAGGGTATGTTAATTTTTTACATTGCAATAATCCACATACAAGTGTTGTTGCAAGAGTTCCTTATCATGCAGAGAGCACTCGCCCTACACTAGGGTCAAACATTCCTATTGTGACCTTACGTGTCTGCGTATTTATAAATTCAACACAGCCAAATGGATGCCCTCTTTGGCATATATTTAATTGCAGGATGCAAGAACTCCTGTAGACTCAATCAACCCTTAGGATATATAATCATCGGTTGTATCAAAATAAACTCATCATAGATCATTTAAATTTTGTACGGCAGACGCGCGTTTCCTCTACAAAAGACTCATAATGATACAGCTTATTGTCAATAGTTGTACAGAAAACACCCGAAACATGTGACACTGTTTAAGTTCCAGTACTTATTTCGACAATCAGTATTGCCACAGGTCATCCAAGAAGGCTGATCGGTATACCGTTTTTAGGGGTTTTGAAAATTTCCGCCTCCTAGGCTATACATTGTTAAAATTCCGGTAAATCCGTTTTGAAAATTTCGCTGTTAAGTGTACTTTTGTCTAAAACTGATCTGTGTTAGATTTATGTCTAAAACTGGCAAAAAAATACTAAGGATAAATATGGATTTATCGTGACATTATCCCTCCAAGACAAATTAAAAAGTGTTTATGATTTACAAAGGAAAAAGTAGTAATGTTTAATTCATAAGTAATTGGATACAGCTAAGTGCTGTGACACGGGAATAAGAGTCTACTACTTCTTATATATTTTTATGAGTTTTATCAATATTTCAACGTTGTCGTGTATATAAGTATTTCTCTAATCTTGCGATGACCTCATTTTCTCATTCCAACAATATTTTCCTTTTTAAAAACGATAAATAATTAATTATCAAAATCTTTTACCTATATAGATTTTGATCAAAATAAATCAATACTACTTTAAGTAAAAACCATCGTGTTAAGTGATCTATTCTTTTGTCTTTTTCGAAGGAAATGAATCAGATTATTCGGAAATACAAATCAAAAGGACACATCACGATGGCGGAAACTTTATACTTGAAACTGTATTGATCTGTTTCGTATAAAGTGTCGTTTTCATGGCAGAAAATATGTCTGATTAATTATAGATCAACGGTATCATATTTTATCATTTGGTACTGAAGATGGCACAACTATATACTAGTATTCAAAATGAAGAACTTGAATCCAATATGAAAATAAAATATTTTAATATACGTGCTAATAGAATTTTATAAATATTTCCTGGATATTATAATCCACTTATATGAAATTATATCCTTCAGTTTAACGTAGTATGATTTCATAATATATTCATTGTTTTAAGTACTTCACGTCAGTTGAAATAATATGAAAGACTCGCACAGAGAATGAATATATATTTGCCATTATACGAGCCAGGTAAACCATAAAATCTCAACCAAATGTTAAGTTGGTTGAAAAATTTTTTGCTAAGACTTCCTGTTGTGCTTTTCTGGTACAAATTACAAAAAAGAACATGATTAAGACTTAGGGTTTTTCTTAAATTTATTATATATTTGTGATAATGTTTTTTTAATTGGAGAATGGCATGTCATAGTTCATTGAAAGAGAGCTTGTCTTGTTCATTACATGAGCCAAAATAATTGAAAACGACACCAGGAATGATCTTTCTCCCGCAGGTAAGAACGGTCAGCACATTCAGTAATTGACAATATGGCAGTAACTAACGTAATATTTTTTTTTGTATGTTCTACTTACTAAACATAAACGTAAGCGTATAAAACTCCTCTTTAGATTTGTTTACGAATATGAGCTTATTAAGCAGTGTGTCGAGTTGAGATTAATATTCTGTTAAAATGTTGAGATCTTCTGTCAATACAACTAGCATGTAATTTGTTTTTATCCGATTATTAACTGTCCAAGGTCATGAACATGCTGTCAAGTGATTGTTAGTTTCTGGATTTTATATGGGTTTTGTGAATAAAAATATTAACGATCCTAAATCCATTTTACGACCCGGTTGTTCAGAGATGTTCATACGATAAGGAACGTTGATCGTTGTCTTGGGATGTAATAATGACCTTCAGGATTTGCCTTCCTTTCTATTTGTCTGTCAAAATGACCTTCAGGATTTGACTTCCTTTCCATTTGTCTGTCATAATGAACTTCAGGATTTGCCTTCTTTCTATTTGTCTGTCATAATAAACTTCAGGATTTGCCTTCCTTTCTATTTGTCTGTCATAATGAACTTCAGGATTTGCCTTCCTTTCTATTTGTCTGTCATAATGACTTTTCAGGAATTGCCTTCCTTTCTATTTGTCTGTCATAATGACTTTCAGGATTTGCCTTCCTTTCTATTTATCTGTCATAATGAACTTCAGGATTTGCCATCCTTTCTATTTGTCTGTAATGATGACCTTCACGATTTGCCTTCCTTTCTATTGGTCTGTAATAATGACCTTCAGGATTTGCCTTCCTTTCTATTTTTCTGTAATAATGACCTTCAGAATTTACCTTCCTTTCTATTTGTCTGTAATAATAACCATTACAAATGTTTGCACCTGTCCTAAGTCAGGAATCTGATTACAGTAGTTGTCGTCTGTTTATGTAGTTCATACGTGTTTCTCGTTTCTCGTTTTTATATAGATTAGACCGTTGGTTTTTCCGTTTGAATGGTTTTACACAAGTAATTTTTTGGGGCCCTTTATAGCTTGCTGTTCGGTGTGAGCCAATGCTCCGTGTTGAAGGCCGTACCTTGACCTATAATGGTTTACTTTTATAAATTGTAACTTGGATGGAGAGTTGTCTCATTGGCACTCATACCACATCTTCCTATATCTATATATTATGATTTGCCTTCCTTTCTATTTGTCACTGATGTCAGCTTTTTGTTTGAATTACGTTCTAGTTAAAGCTAGTTGCATGTACACTACAAAGGCAACTAGACTGAAGTATACAACCGTCTACAAAGCACATACAGTTAAAGACTGTTGTAATCAAATACTACTGCTACGACTAATTACTGCAAAACATATAGTCCACAAAACACTACATAGAAAGCTAAAGACTTAACCAAATAACAGCCTCCAAAACACTGTGCACAAAACAAATACTTTTACACACGCTTTGATATTTCTCATATCAAGTAACGATTAAAGTCTGACTGAATACAAACGATTGATGTGGCATTATAACATCTCCTTATTTGGGTCTAACACACAAAGAGTGTTGCGGTTAAAAATAATTTTGTAAGCGCTCAAACCTCCTCCTAACCTGGAACAGCGGTGTATAAACCAAACATATGAAAAAAATGTGAAAATCATTTTGAATGGCATGAATCATTAAATTGGTATTAAAAACACAACAACAGAAAAACAAAGGATACAAAGAAATGATCTAAGAGTACTGGCAGTGCCGGAAATTTAGTTCAAAACACAATAATATAACTTAAATAAGCCATCTTTTCTCAAACTAAAAAATCAATCAACACACCAAAAAGAGTGGATAGAGGAGCACAAGTGTTCATGAATAGATAACAATACAATTTTAGCTATGTATTAGTTATGTATTATATGTAGTAGTCAAGTGTTTCGGCACTGTCATGATTTATAACATATTTGTTTCCAAAATATCTCATATAAACTAAACATTTTCTAGGCGACAAAGGTTCCAGCTCAATCAGGCAGAGTTGATCTAAATGAATTGAGCTATTCTATTTAGTTTTGTTTTTGGTCATATAGCTCCTAATGTTTCTACGTATTTATACATCCCTGGCTTTCAAAAGATTGGATTTAAAAGTTCCTGATGAAGGTAAATCCAGAAAAGCTTCGAACGCAGAAAATTGTTATTATCAATTACAATAAATTGATGAAAGGATGACATTTTCCTTATACTTCGTTCAGTTTGTACCAGAAAAGATAAACAGGAAGGAAGGTCATGTACATTTTTTTGCAATTTTACATTTTAGTTAGATTTGATGGTTTACCATACGTGTTGAACTGTTTTATCAATTTGCTTTATCCTTTATCAAAAATCAATGAACAGTTTGAATTTATATAATTACAAACTGATTTTTTGTTTTATTATATAGCTAGATTGTTTTATTGCTGGTTATTGTATATTTCCGTTTTCTTTATTTATGTTTTCAATGCATCAAACAAACAATCGAAAGTCCTTCTGTATGATTATCTTGAATCCGACGGTAATGGCGAAATTCTTTGAATATTTGTAAAAGCTTTTTTCAAATAATATTTTATGTTAACCGGTTTATTAACAATATAGTATGGTCTGATAGTTAACACTATTTAATCAGAACAAACCTATGTTTTTATATGCGTTATCTGTCATGATTTTAAAGCAAACACAACACACCTTATACTCGTTTTATATTATCGGCTTCTGTGCATTTTTGTATTGAGACGACTCGAGACAAAAACTTTGAAAAATCATATAAAGACACAACAAAGCATGTTCTAAATGATTTAATCTTCTCTGATGTGACACAAAAAAAGTTACTGAAAAGAAGTTTAGCGCAGATCATTGATTATTAACGTTACTTTTTTTATTGCAAAAGTTTTGGGACGAATTGCACCAGGTAATTCCGGATAATAAATCGGACAACCCGAATCGTTCATTAGTTGTACCATACATGTATATATTGTAGTACTTCCATGGTTTTGTCTTTTAATCATGTATTAGACGTATATATCTATAGTTTCCTTGGTTTATTTAAAGAAATTATTTTCACAATTGAAATTCCTTGTCGTTACCTATGATAAGGCAGATTGAACAAGAGCTTTGATTTGTAATCCCGAAGGACTTTTCTAAGATACATATATTCGTAAATGTTCATCGCCATTGCTATGCGTAAACATTATAAACGTATTACATGCAAATAATGTATGACAAAACAAGAGAGAAAAACACACTAATACGTATAACAATTGCTGAAACTTCGTATATACACTGTCAAGTGTGTACATCAGTGGTTCTTTTATTCATGAAGTTATAGACTTTGAAAACTAGAAGTACACTTATTTTTCCTTGGAGGTCTGTATTTTTGTTATTTTACTTTTTATCGAAATAATGATATTCATTACGTCTTCGTTGACCGATATCTATTATGTTTTCATCTTTATATACTATTTAATATGCATTTGCCTTTTAAAAAAGGGCAATTCCCGTTGAATTAAACGTAGATCTATCATTAATAACTTCTTTTTATAATTCTTAATACGAAAGGTATTTCCCCCCTTAAAATCCGGTTGTAAAATCACGATGGTGATAATGAACGACCTTGTTGATGGCTTTTTATCATGTATTCTGACTATACCAAAAATTCAATAAATAAGTATCATCCATAGAATTTTGTTAGATATTTCAATTTTTTTTTTATGTATTTTATGTTATAGCATGAGTAATGAATGTGTTTTAAACCTTTTTTGGGTATGAAATATTGTATTTCCATGGTAATCATCAAAATTCCAACGTTTTATGTAAATTGTGAAGAGTCTTTTCATTGAAAGTTACAGTGAATCAATTGGGTTTGCAAGAGAGACGAAGAGTTCTATTTGCTAGTTTTTGTAGGGATACGAAATATTTAAAAAACGAAAATATGTAAGTTTATTAGTGCAATCAGTTAAGATCAGGAGTAAGTATCCCTACAGAATAAAGAAGTGTGGGAGAAATAAGATAACAACTCGACAAAACATATCTACAATTCTTATGTTCCTCCTCATATCGGAAAAGCGGATATATGCCGATCCGATTTTTTTAGTCGAAATCTTCAATTCTAATATTCCAATGTATTATTCCTTTGCATCACGATGCAAAGTTATTAGTTTCATACGACATTCGCGCCATCTTGAAATTATTACGTAACACATATAGATTCTCATTGGTTAGCTTATGATGTTTGAAAGATTCTATTGGCTAGACAAGACAATTTTATTCTTTAAAACCATTGTATACACATTATGGCTAGAATGAGATATAAAATTGTGAAAATGTCCCGGACAGGAGAAGATATTACATACGATGACATTACAGTATGGGTATTCAAGATCCGATCCGATACCCGATCAATGAACAATTTTGCCTGTGACTGGTTTACCTAGCTTAAAATGTCGTGTCCAATTCATGTTAATAAATGTTAATAAAAAGTAGGGACTAGGATGAACAAGTTTCTGAGTGGTCATCTGACTATATACGCATATACACCAACACTGAAAATGCATATATTACTGAAAATGATCTTCAAGAATTTTGTCAAAATACATGTATTCCATGTTATAAAACCAAATGATATATATATGAAAAAAAAACAGAAACACTAAGACCACATGGTTCCCCCAAATTGTGCATTATAATTGTTGTGAGAATGATCTAGAATTTAGGAGGTATCTAAGTCATCTGAAAACAAGTTAGTAAAATTACTGTGTAGGAAAACATGCATGATGATATCCATATGCAAATAAATATTGCGTAAAAATGACAAAGACGAGCTAAATACCAACACATGAGTATATGTACAAAGGAGATACATAACACATTTCCCATACTTAAACAACCACATCTTACTTGAAAGCATGATACAGCGAAGCACTCCAAAGCTTTTAAAAAAGCTAAAACTTGAACACACCTAGGGTTGACTGCGGTATAGTGATATGTAATCCATTGTACTTCTTTCATCTGGCAGTAAAACCCTTGCTAAAGTGGTGTGTCTGATATACTTTGCGGGGTATTTATATATTCAGATACGTCCGGTCTGAATGGAGACCAGGTCTCGCGGTCATAAACATTAAAATAGTTTAGGTGTTTCGAGAACAAATTTTGTACTCCGAGCACTGAGAAGTTTTAAGACCGTTAACTATGAAATTTCACGACTCGTATAGAGTTTAATGTTCTATGAACGTCAAAGAATCTCTGTAATTTTGAGGGGTCCGTAGATGGCCATTTCAAACGGCAAAATGTCTACACCCTCATTTTCAAGTAGCAGCCGAAACTATCACGACCCTTTTATCTATTATCGTTTGGAATATGCACGAAATATTTGTTATTGGACGTTAGGCAAAATAAAGTCGATAAATCAATCAACTAATGTATTATATGCGTTGAAAATATTCCAAATTTGACATTTCCACTCTACCTATTGCAAAATTTTATGACAAATAAACAAATGTAATTACTAGTAGATCTTTGGAAATTGTTTTTATTGGTATAAATATTGATATAGTCACAATCACGGTACTACAATCTGTCGATATCTTTATTTTGGCATTGCACAAGGTCATGTTTTTCTTTGACTGTTAATGACGTCTTTACACTTAATCCATTTGGATGTTGGATGTGTACTTTTTTTGTCTAAGATACATGATTTTTTATTAGTTGTTATTGGCTTCCAACTAGCTGTCAGTAACTGCGAGTACTCTCAGATATGTACTTGGTGTCTTTTTTGTTGTGGGTATGTATAAATATCCTGCCACGTCCGGTATGTGTTTTCGTAAGCTGTTTTTGCTTTGTATCGATCTGATGAGTTAAGCCCTTTTCAACTGATTTTAACAGTTTGTTCTTATGTTGTACTGTTTCACCACTGTCCCAGGTTAGGGGGAAGGTTTGGCGTCTATGATGTGCTCTTTTTATATGCCCGTCGAAATGACATATCCATCAGTTCCAAGCACGCTTGCGTCTCGTGGTATTATTTAACGTATCTTTGTTGTTTGCATATTTTGTTGCATCAAGAAATGTTTTCTTTTCAATTTTTTACTGTTTTTGTTATGGGCTTTTAATCGCTAGCGTCTCGTGGTATTATTTAGTGTACCTTGTTGTTTGCATATTTTGTTGCATCAAGAAATGTTTTCTTTTCAATTTTTTACTATTTTTGTTATGGGCTTTTAATCGCTAGAATGCGACAGTTACAAGCATGTCTCAAGTTTGAATTAAGGAAAGTTAACGTAATGTGATGATCTTCCTGATTTTTATGAAATGGAATATGCATTTAGAACTAAGATAGATAAAATTATAATAGTATCATAGCGTTCTAAATGCATACAAAATTTCATAAAATCCGAAATAGTGCTTATTACGTATACTTCGTTTTAACGGAGTTTTATTGGTATTTTCTAAAGCTTTAGACCTGATTGTGTAGTTTGTAAAAAGATTTTCTATTACATTAGGTAACAGTTTTATGTGATTAAAATTGTATAAACACATTAGGCAATTTCTGAATGTAAAGTGCACATATTGTGCAAAAGACCGATTAGTTAGTTTAACGTCACAGTGAAAGCTAAGATTTTTACTGTTTCATTATATACCATATTATCCTTCAAAATTACAATTCAAATTGATGTCAGTGCAAAACATCCTAACATTGATCTTGTCAGAAGTTTAACTTTGCTATCAAAAACATCAATTTGACATATATATCACAAATTAAAGTTTGGATTAGAATCCCTTTTAAACATTGCATCATTAATTTCAACTGTTAAATCACGCCTTAGTTTTGGTAAAATTCAGACAAAAACAGTATGTTTTTTTGTCATTACTGTTTTTCAATGACGTTGGTTTTGAGGGGAATTTAGGAGGAAATCATGCACTGAATATATACACAAGATTGGATTATTGACACTATCTATCCTGGTTACTGAAAACGGTCTTGATTACGTTTAGTACAAATTCACATGTTAAGTGCAACGTTGATGTCTTTAGACTCTTGTAGATAGGTGTCTCTGACAATCATACCACATCTCCTTATTCTTATATCTTAAGTATTTTAAAATTTTGATTTGTTTTTGTTAGGTTCTTCTGATTAGTGGTAAGTTAGTAATGTAATATCATACTACAATACTTAAAAAACTACAGCAAGTTAAAAAAGGTAAATAAAATCTGTTATGAAATGATAGATTTTAAAGCCTTTTGGAAAACAATGGTAAAATTACAGATAAAGAGAATAGCTTATTCCTTGATATTTATTCATTTAACCAATTATGTCAACTTCTAAGTTTTTAGTAATAGCATAAACCCATGATACCAGATTCTAGTAATAGTCATCAGAACCAGGAATACACGAGGACATACGTTTGAGAGACCAAATACTTCAACGTTTGGGACAAAAGCCTAAACAGAACACTCAAAACTGCATCTTCTATACTTGAGTTGAAGATGTCCCTGTTTGCAGACAAGTACATTATCATATTGTGGGTTTTACTTATTATTGAAGTACTAAGTCTCTTCCTTTCATTTCGATTAGTGGGATAAAATAAGAAAAAGAGATAGAAATCATTCAAGAAATACAATTTAATATAAACTTCAGTATTGCATACGACAAATACCAGAACAATATTGACATGAAAGATTGCTTGCAGTAATCAATAACTAGATCTACTGATACAATCATACAAACTTGCACTAAATATAAGCCGATGTAAACAAGATCTAGTGCATTGCAGAAAGTTAATATGTCCTTAGAATTCCCATACTGAGAGGAAAATAATGAAATATTTTAGTCGTGTTGCCGAATGTAAATAATAGAATAACTATTAATCCCCTTAAAAATAAGACGCGGGATTTTCTTAAATGAAATCATGCTGTACATATAATAACATGTTGTCTATCAAATTGACCAGTCTCTAATCTTCCGTTTGTATCCAAAGTGCTTGAAAAGGTCGATTAGACTCGCCTTAAAAACAATCATACGTCGAACTATCTTCACGACAGCCTACAATCAGCCTACCGTGAGAATCATTCGACTGATATTATTACTCCGTGTTCATCATGACATCACTCTTGCTCTTGACAACAACTGTTGCTAGATCTACTGGAACTTCCGATTTGATCGATCATTCTATTCTGGTGAAGCGGTTGGAACACTCTTGTTGGATAACCGGTACAGCACTTAGTTGGGTGAAATTGTATCTCAAAAGAAGATTCAACGCATCGCTGTTGGTTCTGTTCTTCCGAATGAAATTCATCTCCAATATGGTGTTCCTCAAAAATCGGTCCCGCGAACTTAAGTATTTGCCTCAAAAACCAAGCGAAGGACCTTTCAGACTTTCACCTCAAATTTGGTGGAATCATTGTCAGTGGTGTGCTTGAAAAACATAGGCATTTATTTCGATAAAACTTTGGCAATGGACATGCAAATTAGTGCTATTTTGAAATCCTGTTTCAATCAAATCTGAAACATTGGACTAATTCGTCCATTTATAACTAAAGAACTATGCAAAACGATAATATTCTTTCTAGTGACTTCTACTTTGGACTATGGTAACGTATTGCTGTATGGACTCGTAGCTACAATTATTTAGATTACAGCGAGTCCAAAACACAGCAGCCAGAGTCATTACAAGGAAGAAGAAGTACAACCACATGACACACAATCTTAAGTCTCTTCGTCAGCTGCCTGTAACCTATCGATTCCAATATCAACTGCCTTTGTCCGTGTGCAAGGCTTTGAACGAGGAGGCACCGATCTACAAGAACTAGTTACTATCTACAAACCGATGAGAGCAGTGAGATATGAAAATGCCATGCATTTAACAACGCCAAATTTAAAAACAAAAACATAGAAAAAAATGATTCGACAAAGCAGCCGCCGTTCTGTGGAACGATTTGCCAAGTAAACTACGAAACAGATTCTGTGAACGGTTTGAAGAAAAAACTGAAAATCATTTAGTCAGATACATTTTATTGTTTGTCAGTGAATTAAATAGTATAGTTGTATATGCATAATATTTAAAATCAGATTTTCATAAATTTTAACATATCTTTTTTCATCTTTTTAAAAAGTTATTAGTTATCATTCCTCATATGCTAAATTTTTATCATGGGCTTTCATACTTTATTACAAATACTTTCATCTATGAACTGGTATGTTGTAAAGCGCTTAGGGTAATTTTCATATTATATAATGCCCTGTTAAATAATGTATAATTTATTTATTTTTAACTTTGGTGCAAACTAGGCGAGACAGATATTAAAATACTTATTCGGATGATGAATTTGATATGTTATTTTAATAAATAACTTTATGAATGATTACACGTAATAAATAACGTCTTAACATACATCTAAAAGATTTATTTATTTCCTTGTTTTATTATAATCCTTTTATTTTGTTTTTTAATCGACTTTTTTAATGTCTGTAAATGTCTAGAAATTTCGCTCTGTGAATATTTTTAGGTCTCAAGCTATATGCAATATAGTACGAAGCGTCCTTTCCTTAATGCCTGCATAAAGTTACGAAAGGACTTGTTGGTATCATTTGCCTCTGCGTTCACTACCAGATGTCAGAAAGTAAGAACAAAATGCCATTCTGAACATGCACAAAATATATGCCATTGAACGTTAAGCAAACAGAAATAATCAACCATTTATAAGTATTATGCAACAAGGATAGTCCCGGCACCTGTCACCTAATAATGGCACATTCTTTGGATAAGTTTTTCATACGAGATTACATTCTGAGTTAAAAGAGAAATTTTTGGTATATTTTTCTTGGCTAGCACTACAAAATAAAATAATATAAGACATTAAATGTCATATTATAAGCCAGGTATCTTTGATGAGTTTTAATAGACGAAAAAGAAGATACCAAGGGAACGATAAAAACACTATCATATAGTAAATGAATTCAACAAAGACTAAGAATGATTTCCTATCACCATCATATTATTCTAAAGAAAAAAAAGAATGAAATATAAGCAAAAACCAACCGTTGACATGGGACTGTATTGTATGCACCAAAGCCATGCGCAGACTAGAATGTATAATGGACAATGAAAATAAATGTAATTTTATTTTCGAAGATATTACTGTGTCGCCTAAAGAGTTAAGTAATGCGACAGTAATTAACCAATGTTCAAATCTTGTAAATCGTTCAAGAAGAGACAAATCAAAGTAACAAACTAAAACTGAGGGAATCGCGTTCACTCTAAAAGAAACGAGACCGGTTGCGTCGACAGGGTAAGCGTCTCCTGCTATGCATGCGAATTCAAATTCAGTCAAAATGTCACAATCGGGATCAGACACAAGTGGTAAAACTGCAGATCAGACGACTGTACTGGTATCTAAATGTCAAAGACATAAAAACCTGTCGCTAGTGAGTTGAGATACGGAAACATCGTATCGGTGAACCAATTCGTTATGGTAACCGTTATATTTAAAAGGTAGGATCGATTTCAGTCGTTTCTCACAACTCTGTTTGGCAATTTGTGTGTAAGGAGCACATCTATGTTAACAAAGTCCGCATAGTTTGAACATACACGGGTGTAACATATTAACTGAGATATGTAAAAATGCCATACGACGGAGCAGATGGTATGTTACTGCTGAGAAACACAAAATTGACAATTTGAAAGTTGAAATCATCAAGTTTGTCATAATAACTGTCAAAAGAGATTTTTTTTGTATATTTCTGTGGGTTCTACTATAGCACCTGTCTTGTTGCTCATTTCTTGTAATATTCGGTGACTAATCGCATTCGGTGATTCGATGTTAAATAAGAGACCACGATAGTTTACGGTTATTCAGATCTTGTGAATACAATTTGAATATACAAATCTTTTGAAAACAACTGAGGGATTTTCAAAATCTACGTACACAAAGACACGAGAACGGCTCCCCCGACAAGGTTAGCGTATGCTGCTATGCATGCATCAACCGCCGTCAGAATTGATACTCAGTTAAAATGTCACGATAAGGAAACTGACACAATCGGTACACTAACAGTTTTGATTATCCTGGTGTCTTTAGATAAAAAACCACAAAATATCTTTCGTGAGTTCAGATAGACACATATAGGTCAATCAATTTGTGAAGATGACCGTAAAATTTGTATGGTGTCCTTCTACCTCATAACCTTGCTCTGGTAGTTTTTGCGTTATGAGTACATCCTTGTTAAGAAAATCGGTATAATGTGAACATGCACGTGTAACTTATGATGTTTAAACGCCTTACTTTGGAACATGCTGCTACTGAGAAATGGAAAGTTGACAAGGAGAAACTGAAATCATCGTCTTTTTCGACAGAGCGGGAATGATTTACCCTTCCGGAGCAGGATATCAACATAACATCACGCACGGTTTTTGGTGGGGTTCGTGTTGCGCAGTCAGTTTTCTATGTTGTGTTTTGTATACAGTTGTCTGTCTTTTAATCTTTTTTTCTCTTTTTTTGCCATAGCATTGTCAGTTTATTTTCGACTTATGAGTTTGAATATCCCTTTGGTATCTTTCGCCTATCGTTTTCGAAAATAATTTATAAACTAGAGCATAGTGATTGGAGTCATCACAGAGAGCTCCGCAGCATGTAAATAAGTAAAATGTAATGCTATTAGTGTAACTCCACGTAAATGTATATGCACAGGGGTGTTTAAGATCAACTATGTTTACCATGATCATGAACATACAAACTGCTTATGACGTCGTTACAGTAAATCCGTTGGATGTGTTCTAATTAATATTTTAGTCTGGGAAACACGATTTATGTATCAGTTGTAATTGGCTTTGAACTAGCTTTCAGTAATTGAGAGAACTCATAGATCGATACTTTTTGTCTACTAGTTATTTTATTTGTTTTGTTTTGTGCAAAACTGATGAGTCAAGCCATTTCCAAATGGTTTTTATATATAGTTTGTTCGTACTTAGATGTGATGTTAAACCACTGTCACAGGTTAGACAGGAGTTGAGTGCTCACAAACATGTTCAACCCCACCACATTCTGTATGTACCTGTCCCAAGTCAGAAGCCTGTAATTCGGGGTTGTCGTTTGATGATGTCTTTTATGGTCACCATGACAAATTTATGTCTCGTTTATTGATTTGTCATAAATCAGGCTATTGGATTACTTATTTGAATTGTTTTACAATTTGGTGGGCCTTTAATGCTGTCAATCCGGTGTGAGTTTCGCTCGTTAAATAAGACTGTATGCTGCTCATACTTGCTACAAGATGTCTTACACAAAGATGTTATTGTGGGTTGAATATCTATTCGGAGATGCCTTGATTCATATTTAGTTTTTGCAAAAACATTGTGTGAAATATGGTTACTTTAGGTCAAGTATGTCAATTTCAACAGGTTTTTATATAACAGTGACAAAATGAAAACAACATGTTATAAATTTAATGCGTCCGAAGCGCTTTACAACTGACAGTTCTTTTACTAAGTGTCCAAAATGTATCATCATGTTTATGTATCAATTAAAAACTGTATAATTTGTGAAAAACATTGAAGAATCGTACTACATTTGCAATTTAAAGGGTCAGATTATGGTACTTATACCTCTTTTTTTTATGATAAACCGAAACTCGCCATCATCTTTTGAATCTGTATCTGTGGTTTTCTCTAATTCGAGTTCAATTTATAAATAGATATAAGAGATGATCTTTTAAGTAGGGAGGTATTTTATGTTGAACTGCTTAATGATGAAAGATATTGCTTTAATTAATGACATTCCGATTATTAATGTCTTCCGTGATTTTCGCGAACTAAATATTTGAAAAACAAAAACTTAAATTAGAAACCTTTTAGAGCTGGTCAAACAAAAAAGAACAAAGAAAAAACTAAACTCGTAATCAGATCTCTGCATTTACTTTTCTTAATCTAAATTTACTCCAAAGTTGTATAACAACAAATCCCATTTAACGCTATCCGTATTGTCATGCCAGTACTAATGTACAGGCTATTGCACTGGTGATTTCGTCAGGAAGTAAGAGTCCACCAGCAGAGGTGTCTACCAAGTGGTAGCATTAACATTAGTTAACATTACATACTAGCACCGAATGAACATTTCGACAGTTAATGTATCTTCAGTGATTATCTAGGCCAAAATATTTGAAAGTCCAAAACCTAATACAAACTTTGAAGAGCTGATAAAACCAAAAAGGAACATAGGATCGACAAACCAGGACACAAGGAATCAGAGCTTTGCATTAAGGAGACGTATTCCTTAATTTAAACTGATTTCCAAAGTTTTATAACATCATTCCTTTATTTAAAATGAATTCCAAAGTTTTATAACAGCAATTTCAATGAATATTTAATGATTAGAATGAAGATTTGTAACAATTGTTTCCAAACATAAACAGATTGTAGGTATTCCTATGGGCACCAATTGTGCCCCTTTAATAGAAGACTTGTTCCTGTACTGTTATGAATCACATGTTATGGCCAAACTCAGTAAAGATCCGTCTAAATTCCATTTAATTGATAAAATCAACAACACTTACTTATTTGTTCGTTAAATAATCAAGAATTCTCTAAATATACTGCCGAAATTTACCTAAAAGCAACTTACTTTAAATAAATCAAATATTAACAGTAATAAGTGTCCTTTCCTAGATTTAGATATTTCAGTTTTACATCAGAAACTCTACACAAAAATTTACGACGAAAGGGATGGCTTTTTCTTTCCCTATTGTTAATTTTTTTCTTTTTTGAGCGGTGATGTTCCTCTGGTACCATCTTACAGTGTTTATATATTCCAACTCGTTCGTTA